GACCCAAGAGGCACCCGAGTGGGGGTGGGCTGGGCCTCTGAGGGGGCTGGGGAGGGGCCAGCTCCACCTACTTCACTGAGAGGCTTCCAGGAAGGGTCTGGGCTTCTGAGTCACGCAGAGCTGGGTTTGAATTTCTGACACTGCCACTTTCTTGCTGTAGCACCCCAGGTGGGGACTTCAATTCTCTGGGCCACATCTGTAAACTGTCAGAATCTCGGAGGATGAAATGAGGCGGCCCATGTAGAGCACTCTGCAAACTGTAGAGCCCTGTGGTCCCCTTTCCCTTTGTCCCCACGTGCTTCTTGGTGTCCCGGAAGCTGGCCTGCCTCTTTGGTGGGAGAGAGGGCAGCTGCCGCTGCTTTCTCAACCACTTGCCTCCCTTCTCAGATCCTGGGACTTGCTCGCTCTCCAGGGGACCCTGCCTGCTGCTCTGTCCTCTCGGTCATCCATCTGCATTTCTACTCTCAGCTGGGCCTCTCCCTCCCTCCTGGGTGCCTCAATCTTAGGTGGGAGGGGACTGGGCATCACAAACAAGGACACTCCCCCCACCAAGCTGGCCTTCAAAGAAGCAAACCTGTGGGCTCCAGTGTCACTGCTGCCTCAGCCATCTCTGGTCACGTCATCTGTTTAGCCTCTCTGCTTAGAAACGGGAAAGACTTGCTCCATCCAGAAGTGAGGGACCCAGGCCTCCTGACTTGCAGCCCTCTGCCCTGCTTTTCTGAGTTCTGCCTGAAGACAGAAGTCTTGGCTCAAGGGCAAATGCACAGTGTGGGAACACCCCAGCTTCTCCTTTGGCTCAGGGGGGCCTCCCAGGGCTTCCTAGGCCCCTGGGAGGGTAGAGGTGGTTGATGGATTGAGCCAGCAGAGCCCACTAGGGCCGAGCCCTGCCTCCTCAGGGACCCTACTCATTCTAGATGCAGGAACAGTCAAGGAAAGTGGGGTGCCCAGGGTGAAGAGAAGACATGGTCCCACTTTCAGAAGCCCCCATCTAGTGGGGAGACAGGATGCAGACTGAAGGTCTGAGGGCAGGCTCCAGTCACTCTCACAGAGAAGAAAAGCCTGGAGGAAGCAGGAAATTAGGGTAAACTGAATCCCCCCACCCCCAGGATGGAGAGGAGGATTCAGACCAGGCTGAGAAGACTCCAGCTTCAGGCAGGAGAGAGAGAGGAGGGAGTCTTGGGGGAAGGAAAGGCTGAGAGGGTGACTGCAGATTAGGCCCCTCTCCCTGTCCCAGGCATGACAGGCCCACTGGCCCACCGAGGAGAGGTGAGGGAGGTTGTCACTGGAGTGGCTTAGGGTGGGGACTGAGCAGCTCTTTGCTCCCCCCACCCAGGTCCTCATACAGGAGGCAGCTGGGAACCACCCACATACGTCTGGCGTCTCTCACGCCTCCACCGGGGGTCCCAACACCAGAGCCAAGGCACACAGTGGAGCCAGTGTTCCCGAGGGCCCAGCTGTCCCTCCACCTCAGTCTGATTCCCTAGCTTTTCTGGTGGAGAAGAGCTCACCCCCAAGCAGGAGGGACTACGGCTACAATCCAATGACCTATGAGGCTTAGTCTGGCAGCCTAGATGGGGAACTCTGGTCTGAGTTCTGGGGAGCTGGGAGGGTCTAAGCTGCAGATACTGAGAGAATATGGCTAGGAGGAGCCGTCTGGGTACCTGGTAAGGGCTGATAGCTCTAGAGGTCCAGAAACAAGACTCACCACTGCCACCCTGGTCATCTCTCACCCTGAAATGTCCCCCTGCTCCTTCCCTTGCCTCCCACTCCTTAACATCCATTCATGACATAATGGCCCAAGGACTTCCCATTTCATCTGTAATGCAATCAATCTTAAGGCTTCAACATGGACCCCACAGCTCTTGATCTGCCACCCTCCCAACCTTGTCCCAAATAACTTATTTAATACACTGTAGATGTGACTTGTATGTTATAACACACATCACTTCTTTCCACACCTGTAACCTCACCGCCTAGGACAGTGCTGGATGCAGAACTAGGGCTTGATTAATATTTGTAGAATGAATGAATGAGGGCATGTGGATTCAAGCCCAAGCCCTCCGCTCATTAGTTGAGACATTGGAAAATTTGACCCATTTAACCCCCACCAAGCATCAGTTTCCTGATCTGAAAAGTGGAGAACAAGGATCATATTCTAGAGATGGAAAAGGACAAAATTTAACAATTCCCAGCATGTGGGAATTGTTGCCAAGATCAGAGGAAGGAAGATGCAGCCCCCATACCGGCAGGAGGAGCTGTAAGGTGGTCAACAACTCCGGAGAGGAACTGTCCACCGTGCAGTCAGAGGCCTGTGCATCTCAGAACCTGGGAGCTGGAGACTGTTCTCCCGTTCTCACAGGTCACGAGCCTGCACCGGCAGAGAGGCTGGAGTGTACGCGGCATCGCTGTTGGGAGGTGGGATTAATTCCGAGAGCGGGTGGGGGATGAGATCGAGAGTAGTAGGCAGGAGTGGGGGCGGGCTCTATAAAGTGGAGGTGGGCAGGGGGTGTGTCTAACCCTCCTAAGACCTCGGGACCGAAGGAATGGGCGCTCCTCGTTCCCCGAAGAGACCCTAGTTCGGTTGGATCTGGAGTTGAGGCGAGGAAGCAGGGAGGGTGCCTAGCGAACCGCCCAGGATTCGGATTCCGCCCTCGGAGCGACGTGCAGCCCAGCGCCCAGGTAGGGATGAGGGAAGAAGGTGGTGGCGTGGCCAAGGATTGTCCCCTGCTTAGGAAAGAGGGCTCTCGGCACTGACCCGCTCCTCCATTCAGGCGCCCTGAGTCGAGATGCTGAGATAGGGACCCCGGTTCTCTTCCCCTGGAGGGGTGCTCCCTCGAGAGCTGGAGCAGGGCGGTGGGGGCGTCCCCCTCCCTCTCTGGGCGGGGGCGGGGGCGGGGGCGGAGCCTAGCGCACCGCTCCCCCTACCCGGGGCTGGAGGGGACCCCCCAGGGGAGGGGCTCGGGGCGAGCGCTGCGGGGCGTCTCCCTCGCAGTCCCGCCCGCCCCTCTGGCCGCCTCTGCCGCCGCGCGCCGCAGCAGCGCCGCCTTCCCTGCGCAGTCGGTGTTTCGGCGTCGCTGGGTGAGTGGGGGCGCTCCGGCCGGGCCCCGGGGATGCAGGGAGGGATCCCCGGAGCTAGGGGCCACGTCCAGGGCTCCCCAACCCCGCGACTCTCCGTGCCTCCTGGGATTCTTCCCACCTGGAGCGCGGAAAGCGGGGATCCCCGGGAAACACGCGGCGCTCTCCAGGGTCCTGACCGCCGAGCGGCCAGCCCCGAGGAGTAGGGTTTCGGTCGCCCCGGAGCGCCCCCTCCAGGAGGGGTCACGAGCGCGCGTGCTGGAAGGATTGAGACGTGGTCCCAGGGCCAGAGCTGCGGGGAGGTTTGTAAAGGGGACCCAGGGTGGGTTTCTCAGGTCGAGCGGCAAGGTTCTTCCCATTTGGGGAACTGGGGGTGTTTGCGGGGACAACGGAATCTTCTTCCAACTGGGAGAGGCAGCTTTGAGGGTGTCAGAGAGGAGGGGGCACTGAAGGAGCTCTCCTGCCCAGCGCATCTTTATGCCCCCGCCTGGGTGACCCAGTTCCTTGGACCTTCAGGAGGGGAGTAAGGGACACATTCCCCTGCTCAGCCCTGCGCATTTCCTCAGTCCCTTCCCACACACTTGTTTTGGGGGTCCTCAGCCTGGGGCAGAAGAGACTGATATAGAAAGGAGGGGCTACCAACTTACAGAAACATACATGTGACACGCTGCTGAAGAGACACACAGGTCTCCCTAAATGGCCACACAGGCACATTCGCTTCACATTGTGACAGGTGCATACCTGGTCACATGCACATATAATGCACATGCACAGACATGGACGGAAACACACCAGGAGATAAATGCATGCAGAACCCAGGGCACACATCATGCATGAGCACATGTATTCTCACACATGCACCCGCCCACATGTGCATAGAGCTTTGTGCATACGAACATACAAGGAACCTCCCTCACCCTATCTCACTCTCATCCCCAAGCTCAGAGGGAGGGGGGTCACCTGCACACATCCCTGTCCTGAACTGTCTGGCTGTCTCCTCTCCATTGCCTTCTCCTCAGCCTCACCCTCAAGCCCCTGCCCCCAGGAGATTAAAGGTGAATGCTGGGGGAGGTTGGATGGGCCAGGGGTTTCCCAGGACAGGAGCCCCCATGGGAAGGGCTGCAGCTCCCTCTCCTGGGACCTGACAGCATCCCTGGGAAAATAAAGCAAAATAACAAGGGTGCCTGAAGGTCCCACGTGCAGCTGGCCATGTGAGAGGTGCTGGCATTCGAGTTGACATGTGATGGCATGTGTGAGACATGTGGGGTCGTGGGCTGGTGTGTTGATGCACAGGGTATAGGAGTTGTGCGTGGTGCTGGGTGTCAGTGCATGCGAGTGTGGAGCAGAGGGAATGCTGTGCGTGGAGGCATGATGACCATGGGTGGTGTGGGCTGGTATGTGAGTGGCATGGGCCCCAGGGGGTGGTGAGCCGTGTAGCATAAGATGTGTCAGCGCACATTTACTTGCATATTATTGTGCACACTTTGGTGGCATCTAGGTAATACAAATCATTTTTAGTTATCTAACACTTATGTAGCACCTGTCTGTGCAGGCATGGTTTTAAGTGTTTTCCATGCATTAACTAATTTAATCCCCTCCAACAATCCCAGGAGGTAAGTGCTTACCCCCACTTTACTTGAGGCAGAGAGTTTAAGGAATTGACCCAGGCACATAGCTGGTAAGAGGCAGAGTTGGGATTCAAACCCAGGTGATCTGAGTTGGAGGCCAGATGAACACCTATCCTGTGCTGCCTCTTACAGGCACACCTGTAGAAGAGAGCAGAGGGCTGTGATTGGGCTACAGGTGTATTTTTTTTTTTGATGGGAAGTCATGTGGGAGGCAAAGAGCGGGCAGAGGCTAGGAGGAAGGACCAGAAATCCTTCTGCACCTCCCTGGGCAACTCTAAGAGTTGGACCTATCGTGTCATGACTGTGTGACATGAAACAGGTGACCTCCCTTCAATGAACCTGCCTTCTCATCTGAAAAATGGGGCAAATTCTGACTTCCCTTCAGGAGGGTGAAAAGATGTGCACTCTTGAAGGCACCAAGAAGGGTCTGTGTAAATATGAGTCCCCTTTCCTTCCTCCCTCTCCAGCTCGGTTCCTAGAGAAGTGTAATGTCTAGGGAAACGGTGTGGAGCATGTCACAGAGGCCACAAGCCTGGATGCAGGCTGTGTGACCTTGGGCCAGTTCCTCTCTCTTGTTGGGTCAAAGGAGGGGTTGAGGTGGCTGGTGTCTGGGGGCCCTTCTGGAATGGTTACAGGTGACCAGGAGGTCCTGACCACTCCTCTCTGCCCCTTGACCCCCTTGGGGACCCAGGTGGGACTTGGCTCTTCGGCCATGGGCAAGCAGAACAGCAAGCTGCGGCCGGAGATGCTGCAGGACCTGCGGGAGAACACGGAGTTCTCAGAGCTGGAGCTGCAGGAGTGGTACAAGGGCTTCCTCAAGGACTGCCCCACAGGCATCCTCAACGTGGACGAGTTCAAGAAGATCTATGCCAACTTCTTTCCCTATGGCGACGCCTCCAAGTTCGCGGAGCACGTCTTCCGCACCTTCGACACCAACAGCGACGGCACCATCGACTTCCGGGAGTTCATCATTGCGCTGAGCGTGACCTCGAGGGGCCGCCTGGAGCAGAAGCTCATGTGGGCCTTCAGCATGTACGACCTGGATGGCAACGGCTACATCAGCCGGGAGGAGATGCTGGAGATCGTGCAGGTGGGCCCGGGCCCGAGAGTGCCAGGCCAGGCGGCATGCCCTGGCCACCCCTTCCTAGCTTCTCAACAGAGCTGGTAGGCAAGTGGTGACAGGTGCTATTCTTATGACCCTATTGATGGAATTCTCTCGTAGGAAATAATGAATTGCTGATTTAAAGAAACACTGAGAAAACTCCCAAGTCCACTGAGCCCAGATTCACCAATTAATATTTTGCTTCATTTTTATATGAATGCAATATTTTCTTGTTTTGAATGCTGACCCTTACCCCTAGGTAAAGGATGTATTTCCTAAGAATAAGGACATTCTCTTACATAACCCATAATATGATTATCCAAGTCAGGACATTTAATATAGAAACGATGCTATTATCTAATTGACAGACCATATTCCAATTTTGCCAACTGTCTTCATAATGTTCTCTATAGCATTTTTTTTTTTTTTTTTTGCCCTGGTCTAGGAAGATGCCTTGCATTTGGTTGTCTGTTTAGTCGCCTGTTGTCTGGAATAGTTCCTCAGCCTTTCTTTGTGTTTCATGACTTGACATTTCTGTAGAGTACAGGCCAGTTGTATTTTATTGATCCTCATTTACTCAGGGAGGAAGCATGCTTAGAGAGGTCAAGGCACTTTCTGGAGGCCACACAGCCTGAGGGGGAACCTGACTCCAACAGTCACATTCTAACTGGATACTTGGCCATTTTCCAACTAATAGATAGAGGGACCACCAAGGGCACAGTACTTGGACCTCTTTTCCTTCCTCCTAGTTTCTGCCCCCTTTTTGCCTCCCACGTGACTTCCCACCAAAAAATACACCTGTAGCCCAATCATGGCCCTCTGCTGTCTTCTATAGGTGTGCCTGTACTGTGTCCTCGGTGGTACTGTGAGGTGCTTATACCCATATGCTGAGTGCATCCTCACTATACTTCCATGAGGCTCGGAGAGGTAGAGTGCTTTGCCTGAAGTCTCACAGTACATAAGTGAAGTCAAGCTCAGCTGGCCACTACTCAGAGCTGCCTTTTGTGTGGGATCTGGGCTCCTAGCCAGGAGATCTGGCTTCCGGTTCTGGAGTCGGCCTTAACTCTTAGGTTGCTCATTTGTAAAATGGGCATGGTGATGCTGACCTCAGAAGATTTAGGGATCTGATATGAGAGCCTTTCTGAGTACACATTTAAGTGTGATATGTGTTAGCTCATCCATGTCGGCACCCACTCCCTTAGCCCAGCACTGAAGGTGGTCAGGGCCCTGTTCTATTTTACCTATCTGGTTCCTTGCTCACTTCCCCCAGCTTTCTCCATCTATAAAGGGTGTGTTGGGGGGTATTAAGCCCCCGCTTCCCAGGCTCTGGCAGGGATAAATTGGGATGGTGGTTCTAGCACAGGGTGCTGCATATATTCAGTACTCAGTAAATGTTAGTGACTGTCGATCATTTTTTTTTTTTTTTTGGATCTGCATATCTTCTTCTCTAGTCAAAATGGCCTTTTTAACATCTCTGAGATACCTGGAGTAATGCTGTGGCGCAGACTTGCACAAGCCATTGTCCCCTTCCCTTCTGCATCTCTGAACACTCTCCCTTTGGGTCCCTCAGCTCTGTGAACCATTCCCCCTCCCAACTCATCTGCCCGCTCATTGGCTTCTCTTGCTATGGTCTGGCTCTGTGCTCTCTAGCTGGAGCAGAGTGGCTGCCTCAGGAGGTGTTGCTGTCCAGTGGAGACCTAGTTCTTCCATGTCGCCAGCTCCTGTGGGCCAGTTTCTGTATGGTGGAGTTCCTGATGGAAGGATCACAGTAGACAGGGCAGTGGAGAATCACTCAGGGATCAGCTGGAAACCAGCCAATCCAGAGGGATTCGTGTTCTGCTTAATGTGGTCACGCCAGCCTGTGCTGGTAAATCTGAGTCTTGCTGGAGCTAATGCCACTTGTGCATTAGGACTTTCTGGCTGGCCTCTGCTTTCTAGGCCCTGGCTTCCTTTATAGTGGCTCAGAGGCCCCAGACAGGGGTGCAGACAGAGATCTGGAAACCCTGGTGCCTGATTAATGACAAATAGGCTCCAGTGAAACTATGAGCAGCAACTCCAATTCATTAGGAGACCCAGGAGGAGGGCTGTCACAAAGGGAGTGGTTACTCTCTAAGACACTGCTTAGTCCTCCTCAGGATTCAGCCTGGTGCCAGATGATGGGCATGATTCCTCTTGAGGGATCCCACTCTGGTGGGAGAGATCAATGTGTACATCACCCGGATCAGCATAGTGACAGGAGTATAAAAGTGACATTTAGGATCCCAGGGGACTGAGGGACAGGGGAAAACCTGGCAACACGGTGGATGAATGATGACTATCATGCAAGCTGCTATTTAGTGACCACTTACTCTAGCCAGCCACTCTTCTGATTGTTCTATCTCATTTAATCCACTAGGCAATCCTAATGAGGGAGATAAAATTAATCCCATTTTACAAATGGAAACTGAGGGTCACAGAGGTTAAGCCCTTGTCCAAGGCTACACGGCAAATAAGTAGCCACTTCCGAGTTGATATTACTTCAAAGCCCTGCTGCTGGTCACCATCCCAGACTGTCCAAGTATCCACCCAGCAGCTAAGAGGTGGCAGGCTCAAGTCAGTTGGTCTCTGCCATCCATTCCCTTCTCGAGCCCTGGTTTCTTATATGGAAAAGGGAGATGATGATTCCTGTCTTTCAGGGCTATTGTGAAGTCTAGGAATATGCATGTAAGAGACCTGGCACGTAGTGGTTGCCTAATAAATGGTAGCTAGTATCGTTGCTCTAGGCAGAGTCCGAATATGCTGGGGAATCTCCGAGGCTCAGGGATGTTCAGCTGTGAGCTGTGGTGGAGTTACCCTTCTAGAGAGGTCGGCAGCAGGCAGGCTGTGAAGTGTCTTGAATGCCAAAGGCCAAATGGTTTGGACTTGGAAAAAAGGCAGTGGGAGGTGTTGATGGTCTCTAAACAGGGGAGTGCCAGCCAGGTGTCAGGCACTGCATTAGGTCCAGAGGATCTGGGTACTAACTAGATGCTGGTGGTCCTTATCTGTACGGAGGGAATTAGGAACAATCCAACAAAGGCACAGTTACTTCCTGAGAAGTGTCCTCAAAGGAAAAAGCCCAGGAGGCTCTGGGACGCATATGCCCCAACTCAGCCTGGGTCAGAGAAGGACTCGCTAAGAAAGCATCGGATAATCTGAGCCCTAAGGAGTGGGAGGCAGCAGAAGGAGGGCAAGGCAGCAACTAGGAGCAGGGTGCACCCGCGGTCTTGGAGAGAGGCCTGTGTGTGTGAGGGAACGGAGGGGGTGGCCTGGGGAATGAGGACATGGTAGTGTAGATTTGTGTTTGGAAAGAGCTTTCAGAGGCAGTGTGGGGTCAGACACGAAGGAAAGAGGCCAGAAAAGCAGCGTGGAGGTAGAAGCTGAACCTGAGGCAGGGGAAGTTTATGGGATGGGAGAAGAGGGGAGGCTTCTGGGAGGAGGTGTCAATCTAGAAGATTGAGGCGACCAGCGGGTGCTTGAGCTCTGGGTCGCAGGAACCCAGCCCATGCCACAGGCTGCGCACTCTGTGCTCTGTACATTGAGCACAAAAACCCTCCTTCGCTTCGCCTCGGGAGCTCCTGCACGTGGCAGCTGCCGCCCTCGGCCCAGCAGAGCTCAGGCTGTCCCTGCCCGTTGGCAGATGCTCATTTGCATTCATTTGCATAACCTTCCCCGCCCCTCTGGGCCCCAGCTGCCTCAACGCAGTCCTGCGCCCCCTGCGGGCCACCGACTGCACCGCAGCCCACTGCCACCCCCAGGGTCCCGGGTCCGCTTCCCGCTGCTGGGTGCTGGTGGTTCCTGAGCGGCCCCGCTAACCTTGTACTTACCCCCAAACCTGCGCCCAGGTACTGCCGCCTAAGCCCTCTAGCCCCTCGTCCTCTGGGCCTTCAGGTTCTCTAACATCTCTCCTGACTCCTTGCACCCCTCAATTCTTGATGCTCTCTCGGAGCTTTCGGGCTGCGGTGTCTTTGTTCGTGCGGCTCCCGGTGCCAGCAATTCCTTTCCCACCTAGCCCTCCAAGGGAGCTCGGCAGTGCCGGCTCCCATAGCCCTCTCTTCCGGAAGATTCCTAGATCCTCCTTCCCCAAATCCCGAGCGCCCCAGCCTCGGTGACTCCTCTCCAGCCCGCGCGGCCGGTGGGAGCGAGCGGGGGCTGTGTCTGCGGTGGCGGCCCCGCAGCTCTTCTCACTCCCCGCCTCTCCCCCGCCCCCAGGCCATCTATAAAATGGTTTCGTCCGTGATGAAGATGCCGGAGGACGAATCGACCCCGGAAAAGAGGACTGAGAAAATCTTCCGCCAAATGGACACAAACAACGACGGTGAGGGGCCGAGCGGGGCGGGTGGACGGGGCGGGCAGGTGGCGCTCCCTGCTTCCCTCCCTCGCGCCACCTCCCCTCGCTTGCCGCAGCCTTCTCCCCCTCACAGCTCCCCTCGCCCCGCAGGCAAGCTGTCCCTGGAGGAGTTCATCCGCGGGGCCAAAAGCGACCCGTCCATCGTGCGCCTGCTGCAGTGCGACCCCAGCAGCGCCTCCCAGTTCTGAGCGACAGGAGCCAGGCCCCTCTCCTCCCTGCCTTCACCGGCCCCATCCCGGCTCTCAGCTTCCTCTCCTTTGTGTCTATCCAGGCTGGGGGCCAGACTGGGGACTCCCACCCCGGGTCTGCACTGTGGGGGGCCCCTGGAAAAGGGAAGCCTGCAAGTAAGGGCCCAAGTAAGCAAGCCGTTAGCATTCCACCGTCCAAGAAAGAGCTCCCTTTGGTGATGACAGAGATACCTTCTCTGACTTGGTCTGCTCCTCCGAGTCAGCCCGCCCTTAGCCAGACAGCCCCACCATCTCCCACCCTCCCATGTCTCTGAGGCCAGGCACCTCCAGACCTGGGAAGTGCTCCCCCTCTGGTAGGTCTCAGACTGGGTAGAGGTTGGGGGTCAAGTCCAGGTGAGGAGCCTATTTGTTTGGAGGGAAGAGAAGGATTCCAGGGTTGTTGAGGGTTCAGGGTTGTGGAGGTTTGAGGAAGAAGATCCTTTAAGTTACTCTGCCCTGCAGGAGGGCTCCAACCCTTCCTGCCCAGTTCTTGGAGGCCGTGATAGGGACGCAACACCTCCCAGGATTCCAGCAGTAGCTGTGGTCCCATAAACCCTGGCTACCTTTGAGCTCTTGGATGGACACAGCTAGACACAGACCACAGATCTACCCCTCTGTATCCCGCCCCCCCCCCCCCCCCCCCCTTCCCCCCCCCCCCCCCCCCCCCACGGGCAGAGTCCTTCCACCGTGTCCTGCGTGGGAAAGAAGCGCAGGCCCCCTGGCTGAGCCCCTGTCCCCTCCTGCATGCAGCCACATGGAGCATCTCTGTTCTTTTTAATAACTTCAGAATAAAGTCTTGTTTCAGTGCAATGGGCTGGGTGGCCGGGGCAGGAGGTGAAAGCCCCCTCCCAGGTCCCCAAGGGTCCACTGAGCCCTCTTGGGTGGGCTCTGGGAATCCTGGAGCCATCTGGGCCTTGATGGTCATCTGGGCACTGGCCACAGTTCAGGCTTGGTTGCAGGCCCCCAGTGACTGGGACTCCAGCGAAGCTTCCTCTCTCAGAGGGTCAGGGGCACAGAGCTGGTGCAGCTCAGCAGGTCATGGCCCTCCATGGACTCTGGACTCTCCTGAATCTGTGGAGACACAGGTCACTGGTGGGCCTACTGGGTCAAGGCTGGGGTTCCCTCCTCTAGGACACCCCAGGGATGGAGGAGAGAGGGTGGGGAGGATCTCTGGAGGGCAAAGGAGCATCATCATCCCATGCAAGAGCAAGGATAGACCCCTGGAGCATCCCCTACTCAAGCCCAAATGCCCCTTAGCCTGCCTCAACATTTGTCCTGAGCCCTGGGAGAGCCAGATGTTGTCAGTTGTGTGACTTAGCTAGGAGATCTGGCCTCTCTGAGCCTTTAACCCTCTCTCTTTGGAGAGACCCCATACAGAGGAGTGGGACACACCAGCCTGGGCTTCCCAGCAGGAACTCCAGGAAAATATGGGAAGTCAGGAGTATGGGGGGGACTTACCATGTGGTGGCTGCTTTTCCCCCACCAGGGCCTCAGTTCCAGCAACTGGTGGGCCAGCTGGGTGCAGCGCACAGCAAACACACTTTCCGCTACACAGAACACCAGTGAGATGCCCCAGAGGCACAGGCTAGAGCTCTGCAGGGTACAGGGGACAGAGATGACCACGTGTGTGCCAAGACCCATTCCCACCCCTGTCAAGGGCCTGGGTGCCCCCATCCCGGGCTCAGGCACTCACGTAAATGCGGGTGGGGTCGAAGGGACAGTCGGGCGTGAGTGCCAGTAGTTCAGGGCTCCCAAAAGTGCAGGCGGCCAGCAGGGCCCGTCCCTGGGTGGCAAAGGTCACGGCGATCGAGGCCAAGAGGCCAAGGGCACAGATCAAAGAGAGAAGAGCACACGCCACACTCGAGCTAAACATTGTCCAGCGCTGGATGGGGGAGGCCACTGGTCAGTGGACATCAGGCTTGGCCTTCCTGGGCAGCTCTGGCCTCCATGATGGTCAGGCACACCCCCTACCCTACAGCCCCATCCCAGGAGGCGCCACATACCAGGGGGGTGCTGGGGAGGTAGCGTGACAACACGATGGCTGCAATGCCGGAGGTGATGACCTGGTGGGGGGGGTTCAAGTCAGTTCTGACCCTGTGCTGGAGGACTGCAGGGGGAGTCAGGACTGTTCTTGGATAAAGATGCCACCAATGTCACCAAAGATGCTCTCCAAACCTCCACCTCCTTGTCTTGTGCTTAGCTTTGCCCTCACTGCCTCCATCTGCAGAGACATTTCCTCCTTGTCTAGCCCTGGAGTGATCACACCCTGCCTATAGCCTTCCATGACTCCCCACTGTGAGGAGGCATGCCCAGGAGTACGCACGCCACAAGATACCTGTGACGTAATTCCCTGAAATGGAACAGATTTGGAAGAAACTAAGTAACTCAACTGACAAGGAATTAAAACCAAAATTATATATTGAAACAAACCAGGACACTTTATGGCGTAAAATTCAAAATCCCTAATAGTATATGAAATTATTTCAGGGTCTCAGTGACCTGGCCCCAGCTCTCAGCTCCTCAGCCCCACCCTGAGCCACTGTCCTCCCTCATTGCCCAGGATGTGGACACCCACATGAAGGCTCCTGATGCTCACAAAACACCCTCCCTGCTCCCCGTACTGTGCAGATCCTTCCCTGTGCAGGCTTGCCAACCACCCTCTGTCTCAAGAACAGGACAACCTATGCACTGTCCACCCCAACAGCTGCCCTCTGGATCTTTGGGGCTCCATTCAGTCAGTCTTCCTCCTTCTGTTCACTCAGTGTAATGGCAGAGTACCATGGGTATTCAGCAATGGCTTTCATTCATTGTGCAACCAGAACTAAGTGCCTTAACCTCTCTGTGCTAAGCCCCACTCTCAGGATGAGCTCACAGAAAGGACACTGGCTTTGGTATCAGAACCACCAAGGTTCAAATTCAGTTTGGCATCTTTGTAACAGCAGGAGGGGTGAATCTTGGTCTTGGTCTCCTCCTCTATAAAATGGAGATGATAACGGCCAATGATGCTGGATTGGTGAGAATTAACTGAGGAAATGAGGGCAAAGGAGAAGTGGTCCAGTCCAGAGCCCATTTCTGGGCCCATTACCTCCCCACTCTGCCTTCCTCACAATAACTGTAATCCCAAGGACACTGGCCACATTTGCATAGCCCAGCCTGTCCCACTTGATGGAGCCCTTCTGATTTGCTTGGGCCTTGTCTACCAGGTGTGGAGGCCAGCAGGCTGCCTGAGCTTTATTTTCAGACAGAGACAGGCTTAGTGAGGTCCCGGCCAGGAGTGGCAGGGATGAGCTCCCACACGGATGTGTAAATGTTCCTCCAAGGTCGCAGGTGCCTCTGCTGACAGGGGAAGAGCTCTATAAATCTGAGAATACCAGGCCACTTCATTTGTATATTCATCAAACAGGGGCTGTCACTGAGTCATAACAGGGCTCCCTTTATTGAGCAGTTGCTATAAACCAGGTCTAATGATAAACTCCTGCCAGCCTGGTTTTCTCAGGGTCTCCAGAACAGATCGTAGCCAAGCCCACCTCCATGTCTTTGCATGTGTCTTTCCATTCTGTACAGGGAATGCCATCCTGCTTCCTTTCCTACCTGCCAGCCCCAGGCAGGCCACATACCTGGGTTATTTATTGAAGTTCATCTGTGAACTCCTACACATCCATCAAAACCCTTCTGTGAAGTCCTCCTGGATCCTCCCAAACTGCTCTGATGTTACTTTATTCTGTCCAAGGGTAATTTGAATATTTCTTGGTGGTAATAACAATCCTAGTTCACACTAGTGCACACTTACCATGTGCTGAGCACATTATACGAAGCGCTTTCTGGGAATGATCTTATTCAAAACTCACCAGGACCCTGTGAGGAGGACACTTTTACCACCTCCATTTTATAGATGAGAAATCTGAGGCAAAGAGAATTTGAGTGACTTGGTAAATGGCATACTATGCTGGGGCTACCTGCTTATTCCCCCAAGCTGTGGTGGGGACTTGTCAAAGACCTTGCAAGCCCCTCCCTCCCACCAGTCACCCTCCCAGCCTGGTCGTACCACAATGGCAGAGGTGACTGAGAGGATGTTGACCACGCAGTACTGAAGAGCCACAGCATCCCGGGGGGCAGTGACATATCGCAGCACCGTGCCGTGCAGCACAGCGGCGATGATGAAGCTGACGTGGCCCAGCACCACCAGCACCAGGCCTGTCTTCATTAGCACCTTCCGGAAGTCATCCACGCTCAGGCCACCTGTGGGGGACAGAGACATGGGTGAGGCTTACTCTGCTAGGCAGAGGAGTAAACCTAACCCTGGAGTGATGGACACTGGGTCCTAAGTCTATTTCTGGATGACTCAGAGGCAGTACCTTTACATTTCTGAGCCTCAGTTTCCCCCTCTGTAATAGGGGTTCATGATTCATTTGTGAGTCCTGGGACTGTAAGGCTGGAAAAGCACCCAGGGGGCACTTAGTAAAGGAGAGTCATCCTTGTTAGCACTCAAGGTCAGAGTCAGCAGGGCTCGAGCTCACATCTCTAACTCCAGCTCCCTGACCCTTCCATTGACATCCCATCCACTGTGCCAGGCCCTGGGCTACCACAGTGAGCTCGACAGTCATTGTCCAGGTTCCATGGAGCCCATGGGCCATCGGCTCGGTATTCAGTTTGGTAGATAGTAGGTACTCAACACAATTGCTGAACTGAACTGCCTAGAGTCAAGTGACTGGGGCAACTAACTGAAGCCCCTGAATTTCCATTTCCCCATCTGTAAAATGGGAAGAAGAACCCTGGTCTCTCAGTGCAGAAGATACATGAGATAGATGGAAAGTGGGTCAAACTCTGGGGCTCTGGGAAAAGCAAGCTCTTGGCGCAGGGTAGCATTGGGCAGGGCTGTGGGGGAGGTGGGACCAAATGTAAATTCTCTTTGGCCCTGTGGCTGCTGCTCCTATCATCACATCCCAGGAACAGGAAGCCCACTCCTCAGACAGCTTAGGCTATTCTAGAGGTGCTCTCTGCAATGTCCTCCTTGGCTCCTGACGCTGCTCTAAAGGACACACATAAAGCTGGTTCCCTGGTCCTGCCAGTCTCCTCTGTGAGACGGGAAGACTATGATCAGTTCCCAGAACCAAATAGCCCCTTCCTTTAGCTGCTCCTAATGGGATCTGACTTTGAGTCCCTTCCTAAACCTCAGTCTCCCCATCTGTGACAAAGAGGGTTGATCATATTTCACATATGGGAGTTCTGCAGCTAAATTTAAAAAGAGAGAAAAAGAAGAAAGGAAAAAGCAACCACTAGGCTGGCTGTGCTTGGGATCCCGTGCAAAGAGGCAATCCCCACCAGGGAAGAGGGAGGCAGGGGCCATTCAGTCACAGACTCCCTGTGACGGAGCATGGGCCCTTCCCCTCTGTTGGCTCCAGATTTCCCAAGTATAAGACAAAGAGGGGTGGTCTACTGGCCTTCCCTGGAGCCTGTAGAGTCCTCTGGGGCTGGACCAGGTCTAGGAAGTAAAGAACCGATGATGGACTGGCTGGGCACCGTGGAACTGGAATGACCTGGTGAAGAAGAATGGCCAGCCAAACAGAAAGGGGCATGGCAGCTTCACCGTGGGGGCCTGCTCCACCTCACCCCACCCACCTACCTACCTGGAAGCCCAGACACCACCCAGCTCAGGGCTGCACTCAATAACAACAGCATCCCAGGATCAAGACTTTGGTTAAACAAGAGGCACAGTGCCAGCCGGGGACTGCTCCTGGAACCCTGGATTGAGAGTCTCAGGGCAGTTCCTGGCTTTATTTCCAAGTTACCATTCTGGGAGCATTTAGCAATGTGTTAGTCCACAGTGCTAAGCACTTCACTCTCGGAGCTAAGTTTATCTTCATAGAAGGCTAGGAGTGGGTGCTACTGGCCTATTTTACAGATGAGGCAAAAAGAGGCTCACAAGGTATCTTGTGGGGACTCCCCAGGACTGCCTAAGAGCAGCATCGCAGTGCCCAGGGAGCGGGGGGAGGGGCACACAGTCCTCTCCTCTGTGATGATCCTTTGTCACACTGTTCCCTCCAAGCGTGGTGGGGGACAGAAGGGTATGGAAGTGAGAGCCCAGGGCCCTGCTTTCCCTCTCTCTGGTCTCTCCAGCTTATTTTCTGCCACCAGGGTGTCCGGTGAGCATTCATGCCACTCAGAAAGGAAAGTGGTGTCAAGGGGCCCGAGGTGCTTCGGGCCACATTAAGACATACCCGGCAGCCCTCCTTCCTCCATCTCCCTGAGACTGAAGCCCTGAAAGAAAAGTGACGTGCCCAGGCCGCCAAGTGAGTTAGAGGCGGAGCGGTGGGCCTGGCCCGGTTCGGCTCTCCCTACAGAGCCCCACCCCGCACCAGGGTCTGGGCCTCTCGCGCGCACCCCGCGCCGCTCACCCAGGCGCAGACACATGTCGCTCCCGCGCGGGTCGCCGCGGCCGGCGTCAGCGGGGATCCAGAACCTGCCGGCAGCCGGGGCGCTCGGCTCCCATCCTCTCCGCCGCCGCCTGTGCGCGCTGCGGAGCCGCGCCGCGCCCACTTCCCGCCCGGGCCGCGCTCTGTCCCCGGGCGGCCTCCCTTCCCTGCACCCCCAGCCGCCTGGGCGCGCTCGCACCAGCCGGTCGAACCGGCTCCGCAGCCTCGGCCGCGCGGCTGAGTCACCGCCCCGCCCCGCCCTGCGGCGACCTCGACGCCCCTGCGCTCAGCCGGAGCCTCCGCGGTGATGTCCCCTTGACAGAGGGACACTGAGACTCAGAGGAGCAGCTATAGCCCCTACCAGGGCGTGAGACCCGGGCTGTGTGGTGTCAGCTATAGTTATGGTGCCCCGATGGGCACCTGGACGGAAAAGCGCCCGGGGGAAGGCTGGGAATGGGGAGGGTGGTGAAAGAGCAGCCTAGAGGACCGGGGTCCGTCCCTGGCCTGCTGTGTGACCTCAGGCAAATGACTTTTCCTCCCTGGGACCTACTTTGACCAGATGAAGAACAGCCCTGTTCTTTGAGTCTAGTCTTTCCCGCTGAGCAAGGTGCTTTCCTCATCTGTCTTCAGGTTCCTGTTCCCTCCTTCAAAAGTCAGGGATGATAATTCCTGTCCCTTGAGGTTGTCTGAAACAAAATGAGATACAAAATTAAGAAAATGTCTTAGAAACTCCCTAGAGTGTCTTTGTGGACAAAGCATAGATCTGGCAGGACACATATTAGAAGCTTTACTAATCCTGGTTGTGGGTTACTGAGCCCCTTTAATGTGCCAGCATGGATGGAGGTGTCCTTGTGCCATTCTCAGACTCCCTGTTAGTCAGGTGATTGCCTTCCTTTGGGTTCAGAGGGCTAATCACTCACCCTAGGCCACCTGGCCAGGATTCCCATCCAGGTCTCTGAGCCCAAGTTCTCCAAAGTGGCAGTACTGTGGCTGCCTGTGTGGACTCCCTAGGTCTTTGAGGCAGACCTCTGGAGGCACTTGCTGACACCTGATGGCATCTGTTCCCTGCCTGTGATCCCACCCACTGGTCAGTGGCCTTGATGGCAGGGGCTATCCTGATGTCTTAGGTGTTCCTTTTCTGTACACCTGTAGTGTCACTGTGCACTGAGTGTGTCACATGGGTCAGTGCAGGGAGCTTCTGGAGTTTGGGAAACACATGAACAGCAAAGGAGGGAGGGGAGCCATTTCTCCTGGGAAACCCCCTTGAGAATCACCAGATCACTGCCACCATCAGGCCAGGCTAGGAGCCCCTCAGTGCGTGGGCTTCCAGGTCATCTGTCTGGAACAATGTTATGAACGGTGCAGCTGTTCCTAACAGCAAGGAACTACCAAAGTGACAACCAAGGGAGGGGAAAGGGGAGGATTTTGCTTTTTTATTTCACACTTGGTGGTGTTGGAACCTTACAATGAATAATCGTTCATATCCTGCTTTTGTTTTTTAAAGAAAATGGGCCCTTGGGCTGGGATTGTGGCTTAGAGGTAGAGTGCTCGCCTGGCATGCATGAGGCACTGGGTTTGATCCTCAGCATCCCATAAAAATAAAATAAAGGTATGTGTCCACCTACAACTAATAAATAAATAAATAAATAATTAAATATATATATTTAAATATCTATTTATCTATTTATTTTTTTAAAATGGGCCCTTTATGGGCTGGGGGTGTGGCTCAAGTGGTAGTATGCTGGATTGGCATGCGTGCAGCCTGGGTTCGATCCTCAGCACCACATATAAAGATGTTGTGTCCGCCGAAAACTAAAAAATAAATATTAAAAAAAATTCTCTCTCTCTCTCTCTTTAAAAAAAAAATGGGCCCTTTACTATCACCACCCTGCCACCACTCGACCAATAGCTTTATGATGGCAAACTCCACCTCCCCAGGGTCACTGCAAAGCTGGTGTCACATCTCAGGTATACACATGCAGGTGGCTTCTCTATCAGTGTTGGACAATCCCCTTGACATTGAGCCCATCTGGACACATTGAGTGCTTTTGCCTCCAGAAGCACAGATAATGGTTCTCTCTTTGTATATCTGGAGTGTTAAAAACAAAACAAAACAACAACAAAACACCCCCATTTTATCCATGAGAAAATGGAGACCCAGAAAAGTAAATAACTTTTCCAGGATAATATGACATATATCAATGATAGAGCTGAGACCTGAATCCAGGCCTGATCTTGAAGCAGGTCCTAATTTCTGAGGGTATGTTGGAAATGCAGAGAGCCTCCAAAATTGTGCCTATTCTCTGGGGCCTCTAAAAAGGAAGAACTGTTTCACCTGATTCTCTCCAAAACATCATTTCCCGGCCATCAGCCAACCTCAGAGGCTGAAGTTATTGCCATTTCTTTTCCTTATTGCCAGGTGGCCAAAGTCCATCAGTCCCTGCCACCCGTGGCCCTTACCTCTGCCCCACCTGTCCATGCACTGGCCTGGGCCAGAGCTCTAGTTCCTTATTCTCCACCAACTTACTGTGGCATTCTGGTCATTCTCTGCGATTCCCCACCTCAGTTCTCCTAACTGTCCATTGGGGATAACGATTTGCCTTTCAGGCTTTCTGGGTTTCAGGGGCATTAATAACTTGAGCCATGTGAAAGTGGGTTGAAACCCAGCCAGAGAAACACAAGTAGCACTCCTCTCTCTTCCTGGAACATTTAACGACCAGGTGTGGCCCAGTGTACTTAAATTGGAGGCTGGGTCTTTCCAGGTGTGGCCTTCCCAGTGGAGCTGTGCTGGAGAGGTGGGTTCAGGCTGTCAGTCCGTGTACAACCCCTCCTCACTTTAAAAAAGTTCCCCACCTCATTTTAAGAATCCTTTCCCCATGTAAGTAAAATCTTCTCATAACCACACCATGTTCTATTTCATGCATGTATGTACATGTACATGAAACTAAAACCAACTAATCATGCTTGTCCAAGATAAGAGGGGGTGGTTATCTCTCTAAACTAATTATTTATTTATTATTGGTGGCAGGGACTGAACCCAGGGCACTTACCACTGAGCCACATCCCTAGCCCCTTTTAATATATAGAGAGGGTCTTGCTGAGTTGCTCAAGGCCTCACTGCTGAGTTGCTGAGGCTGGCATTGAACTCATGATCCTCTTGCCTCAGCTTCCTGAGCTGCTGGGATTACAGGTGTGTGCCATTGTACCTGGGTTAAACTAATTTTTAAAAATATTTATTTTTTAGGTGTAGTTGGACACAATACTTTTATTTTGTTATTTTATTTTATTCTTTTAAAATATTTTTATTTTATTTTTATGTGGTGCTGAGGATCTAACCCAGGGCCTCACACATGCTAGGCAAGTGCTCTACCACTGAGCCACACCCCCAGCCCTTAAACTAATTTTTAAAACTAATATGTGTACAAATCACAAGTTGTGGACAGTGTGAATTGGGGCATTTGTTATGTTGGTTTTCTTTCTTTTACATTTCTAAAAAACAAACAAGAAAGACTCACTATAGAAAACTTGGTGGCAAAACTCAGGAAAATGTAAAGAAGAAATCAGAGTTACCCATAATCCTTTGTCCCACCATGGATAACCACCACTCACTTTTTTTTTAATATTTATTTTTTAGTTTTCGGTGGACACAACATCTTTATTTTATTTTTATGTGGTGCTGAGGATTGAACCCAGCGCCCTGCGCATGCCAGGAGAGTGCACTACCGCTTGAGCCACATCCCCAGCCCCCACCACTCACTTTTTGGAGGGTTTTTTGGTTTGGTTTGGTTTTTCCTATGTGTATATATCATTTATCACTTTTTCCTCCTCCAAGATTCCTGCCACCTGGTTCTACTCTCACCCTCTTCATCATCTTCATCTTTGTGGTCTTCCTTCATCCATTCAGGATTTGGATTTTTGTCCTAATGTCCTGCTCATCCGTGTGAATGACCCTTTAGTATCCTGCTTGACCTCCCCAGTGGCCTTCCTCATGACTGCAGCTGTCCTCTCCAGGGCCACACCTTGAACACCTCCCTGAGTTTCCAACCTCAATCAAGGCACAGAGGCCTCTGGTAGGCTGCCCACGTTCTGACTCCCACTGCCTCATCCCCAACTTCCAAAGGCCACTGGCCATTTCTGTCTTCTTCAAGTCAGTTTAGTGCCCTCCTGGCCTCTGTAGCATCAAGCCTAAACCAAAAGTGGAGTGTCTGAAGGCCCGGTCAGGTGGCCTAGTGAGATGTCTTGGGCCAGGATGGTGGCGGGGGAGATAGAGGAGGGGAAATTTGAAATGTGATTTCATGTCAAATTCTGAAAAGCGCTTCTCCAACCCTCACCTCCTTACTCCTCTCAGTGGCTCCCCCAGCTCCACAAGGCCCCACTCTGTTCCTCCTCCTCTACCTTTCTTCTGAGTCCCTCCATCAGCCCATAACAGTCTCGAGTCTCTCTATCTTAAAAAGTACAACGCCCCTTGGCCCTCTTTGCATTTCTAGTTACTGCTTTGTCATCTCCTCTCCCTGACCCCTTGGAACTTCTGGAATGAGTTAGCCTTACTTGCTGCCTCCACTTTCCCAAATCCTACTTCCTCCTTCGTCCACAGAAAGTGGCCTCAGTCCTCTGGGGAAGAGCCCTTGCTGTGGTCACAGTGGACTTCTAACCTTGCTGAATCCAGTGCAGGCACTGGGTTCCTAACTCATTATTAATAGCCACCCCCTGTGCCTCCTGCCTTCTTTCCAGGGTTTGCTCCTGCATCCCTGGGGGCTTCCTTCTCAGTCTCCTTTGTGAATTTTTGTCATCAGCTCTGAGAGAAGTCGGCCCTGGGGGAGAGAGAGAAAAAGAGACCCTAAGTTGATAGAGATCCAAATCTACAAGGATGACCAGTCATGCTTGTCCCTTTAGTTAGATGAACAAAACCTCCAGCATATGCTTGTAACAGATCAACTAGAACAAAAACATAATTAATTTAAATGTCACCAGACTTACACAATGTGCCTACAAATGATT